CCTTGATCACCTTTGATGCCTTTTGCTTCAACTTTTCCATCTGCTCCTAAACAGAGAAAGAGCAAACAAAGAGATGGTTTGTGAAAGATTCCCTCGTGAACAACTTTGGTTTTTCTATAATTGAGCTCACAAATGAAACAAACTAATGCACAGGTTCAGTATATGCCCAGAGGTTAAAATTCAATTACTCCATCTGGGTGCGGTGGTCTCCTAGCACCTTCAGAGACTGCGGCAGGAGGACTGCCTGAGGTCAAGAGTTCAAGACCAACCCAGCCAACATAGCAATACCCTAACTCTTAAAAAAAAAAAAAATCATAAAAATAAGAAAATAAAATTCAATTACTCCAGCCCAGCTCAGTGACTCACGCCTGTAATCCTAGCACTTTGGGAGGCCAAGGTGGGCAGACTGCTTGAGTCCAGGAATTCAAGATCAGCCTAGGCAACATGGCAAAACCTCACGTCTGCAAAAAATACAAAAATTAGCCAGTCGCGGTGGCGCACAACTGTAGTCCCAGCTACTCGGGAGGCTGAGGTGGGAGGATCACTTGAGCCCAGGAGGTTGAGGCTGCAGTGAGCCGTGATCAAACCACTGCACTGCAGCCTAGGAAACAGAGTGAGACCCTGTCTCAAAAATAAATAAATAAAGTCAATTACTCCAGTTACACACGTGTGTGCACAGGGACACACACACATCCCAACAGACCTTTTGACTACTATCTACTAAGTTAGTGTCAGGGTTCATGTTAGAAATGACAACCCTACCATCTAAGTCTAACATGCTGGCTATGAAATAATGTCAATCCGTACAGAAAGAGCAGACACAGGCAGATAAACTGACACGCAACCCTAGTCATGTGACATCCTCTAAAAAGCCCCTCCCTGGAGTGAACATAAAATAAAGCCTGCATCGAAGCATTCATTGCCCTCTCCTGCCCAACCCCAGCCCCAACCCATCCATCCCATCAGCAGTTCATCATCCACAGAGACCTTGCTGCTTCCTTGCACCCCCACCCATCCCAAAGAGTCGTAGTTGCAAGTGTGGACTCTGAGGTTAAATGCCAGGTCTCCATTCTGTCTCCACCACATATGCACACAGGACATCAGACAAGCTAGTGAGCCTCGTGCCTCTGTTCCCTCACCTACGGAACTGGGGTGATAAAACTGTCTAGTGTCTGGGGATGTTGCATTCGGTGAGTCAGCACATGAAAAAAGCACAAAGTGAAGATGACACAAGTTTGCCGCTGTGACTACATCCCGGGGATCCATCAGGGACCAGTTCTAGTGCCACCTCCTCCATGCAGTGCTGCCGATGCACCAAGTCAAAAACTCAGTCTCACTCCTCAGTGCTCATCCACTGCAAGGTTCAAGGTTCAGCAAACTACAACCATAGGCCATATTTAGCCTCCCTCCCACAAGCTAAACAAACACGGCTCACATTTTTTTTGTTTTTCTGGGTTTTGTTTGTTTGTGACAGGGTCACCCGCTCTGTTACCCAGGCTAGGTGCTGTCATGAGATCATGGCTTATGGCAGCCTCAACCTCCCAGG